CTCTTTCCTCTTCTCCTCTTGCTACACCTCTGAAAAGATCACAGCCACCCACACACCACCTCTTTATATTTCATTTCTTCCAGCTCCTGGCTCTCTCAAGAGATCTGGCACTCTTCCTTTACACCGTGTCTCTGCAGCTGCTGTCTCCTGACGCCCTTTCCATCTCTCAAGGTCTGGTCTCCTGGATCAGACTGGGGAGGTGTTACACCCCTTCCCTGCACTGTCCGTTTCGGAGCCCTCTACTCCCCTATCCCCGGCTCTTCTGAGAAACAACGCATCTCCTCTCTTCCCTTTCATATTACTGTCTTCTACTCTCCTCCCAATGCTTCCCCATCCTCCTCCTCCTCCAATTCCTCCTCCTTGCCTCTCTAACGTCTTCTCTGCACAGCTTCCCACACTTGTCCTCAGTGACTTCAGCTTGCCAACCAATGACCAATCCAACATCTCCAGTACCCACTTATCGTCGTTCAACTTGAAGTCTTGGTTCAATTCTCCACTCACCAAAAGGGGCACTCCCTCAACTAGATCTTCAGAAAGCACTGCTCCTTCTCTGATTTCAGCTGCCAAGTTAATAGGATCATAGGAAAAGTAGGGCTGCGAGGGGCCTTAGGAGGTCATGTAGCCCAGCCCCCTACCCAGGACAGGATCTCTCAATAAAAACCAACCCAGCCAAGAGTCTGTTTAACCAGCTCTTAAAACATCCAAGGGCAGTTTCCACAAGCTCTCCAGGTAGCCTGTCCCAACACTTAACCACCTTCACAGTGAGCAAGTTCTTCCTAAAATCCAACCTAAATGTCCTTTGTTACAGTCTGAGGCCATCACTTCTAATCGTGCTCCAGAGTTGTACAGCTCCTTCCTCTCTGTAATCACCCCGCAGGTATCTGAAGACTGATTTCAATTCTTTCAAAGTGTTCTCTTCTCCAGACTCGGTCACCATAGGTTTTTTTCAGCCTCTGCTTGTAAGTCATGCTTCTCAGGCCTCCGATTGTTTTGGTGCACTCTGCCGGACTCTTTACATTGTGTCCACATCTTTCTTGAAATGGAGGGCCCAAAACTGATCACTGCTCCGGATGAGACCTCATCAGTGCCCAAGAGAGTAGAAGAATCACTTCCCTTGATTTGCAAATACCGCTCATGCTGATACAACCCCGTTTGCTATCGACTTTTCTTGCAACAAGACTGGTCTTGCAGCTTATGTTCCACGGTAAGCCCCAGGTCCTCTTCTGCAATACGGCAGCCTAGCCAGTCATCCCCCAGGCTGTACTTGTACATGCACTTATTCCATCTCAAGTGTATGACTTTTACACTTGGCCTTGTTGAATCTCATACGATTGATCGTGGACCATTTCTGAGTCTGTCCAAGTAATTCTGGATCCCAGCCCTCCCCTCCTGAGCGTCCACAACTCCACTCAATTTGGTGTTATCCACCAATAGGCTAAGCATGCACTCAACTGCACCATCTAAATCAGGGGCGGGCAATTATTTTGGGCGGAGGGCCGCTTACCCAGTTTTGGCAGGCTGTCGAGGGCCGCATGGGTAGTGCCACCCCTTGACATGTGCCCCGCCTCCTGGCAGGTGCCCCACCCCCTGGTCACCATCTTGGGACCAATGTCCCAGGTAAGGCCCAAAGTGGGGCACAGGCTGGCAGGGGTCTGTGGAGCCAGGCTGGACTGCACCAGCCAGGAGAGGGGGGAGCTGGCCTGGGTCCATAGAGCCCCTGCCAGCTGGGACCCCACGCTCCTGCCACCCTGCTCTGGGCCCCG